CCACTCTTCATTCCCAGGTGACCTTGTTGGACTTTGGTGCAAGCCGAGAATTTGGGACAGAGTTCACAGATCATTATATTGAGGTGAGGAGTTGCCCTGACCCTGGGGCCTCTGAAGGTTCAAGGTTCAACCCAGCCACTGAGGCAAAGGGGTAAGAAGGAGAAATAGAGGGTCTAGAATGAAGAAATAATGATACTATTAAGAGCAGCTAATAAGTACCAAGCCCATAATTTTACATCAGGCACTATTTTAAGGATTTTACGTAGTAGACTGATTAGAAACCATACAGCAATTCTATGATCAAGACCATTTTTAGCCCCATTAGAGAGCTGGCTGAAGATACCAACAGACCTGGGAGTCACACTCAGATGGTCTGGGTTCAGAGCCCATGTTCCCAACCTCTACCTAGCCCCCCTTAGGAGAAGGGTCCATGATGGCCATCTGGTCCACACCCTTAGTGCCCAGCCTGCAGTCCCAGAACTCCCTGGTAGCCTATGCCCCACATCTGTGTTGCCTATCTCTTGCTGATGGTCAGTTTGTCTCAGAGGCCACACAGAACACCGTCTCATTAATTAGTTGAGTTGAACATTCAGCCTGGGTCTTGGAATCATCTAACCATCAATTCAAACATTCTCTGGCACCTTCTCTATGCTCAGGGATGATACCAGACACAACAGCCACCCAGGTCCAACTTAGGTCCCCATCTTCATAGAGTTTACTGTTCACTGACCAGACAGTGAGGACCCAAAGGGATCAGGGCTGAGCTGGAGGAAGTGCAGAGAACTGTGGGTGCCCCAGAGGGGGAGTCTGACCTGCTATGGGGGAATTCCCCCTGCTATGGGGGAATCAGGGAAGGCTTCCTGGAGGAGGAGACTTTGGAATTGGAGACCTGGGGGATGAGGACAGCCAATCAGGAAGAGGCTGGGTATTCCAGATACACATGTGCACAGTCAAGAGGCAGCAAAGCATAGCTCCACTGAGACAGTGCTTCTGGACATCAATGTGCAGGTAGCGATCCAGTTAAACCCTGGTGGTCCTGTGAAATGCAGCTTGTGGTCTGGATTTAGATGTAAGATGCTGCATCTCCCACAAGCTTCCAGATGGTGTCAATGTTGCCTGTACAGGGACTTCATTTTGCGTGGCAGGCCCTAGAGGACCAAAGGGAACTCAGGTCTGAGTTGGTTGGGGGTGGGGGTGTGGAGGCAAGTTACTCCAGGTCTCAAGCCAGTTTTGCAGCTTATACTTTAGGCCTGTGCCCCGAGAAGCTGGGAGAGACTCTGAGCAGGAGGGCCACAGTCAGAATCGGAGAACTCCCACTAACAAGGGGTCTCTAAGAAGTGCTGTGAGCCCAGGAGGGTGGGAAGAGGGGCAGAGGAGCCACTGGGAGGGCTGCCTAATGGACAGTCCATGGGAGCTGACCAGCTGGAAGTCAGGAGAGGGAGGTGACTGTGACCAGCCCATGGCACTGCCTTGGGAACTCCTGAGGCCACCCTTGAGCTGGTAACACTCCCCCACCAGGCCTCTTGGGGCCCTCTCTGCCGGGCACTTGAGGCCCCAAGCCAAGGCCTCTCTGTGTAGTTGGAATATCCCGCTTCCCACCAACACCTGCCGCTGCCCCCCAGGCCTACTTAGCCTTTTCCAGTTTACAAAAGCCCTGTCACATGGGCCCCTGAAGACCAGGACCTAACAGATGGTCAGACAGGCATGGGCAAGGGGAGCTGAGACAGAATAGAACAGCCAGATGAATCCCATGTTCCTCCTCCCTGCAAGAAAGCAACCCAGCAGGGGAGGGCTGAACCCAGGGTCCATCTTCTATACAGCAGGGACCCTCGCAGCCAGCTCCTAACAAGAAGACTAGCTCAGGATCCTTATGATGCGTCCTCTGTGCAGGCACAGTGCTGAGCCGAGCACTGCACAGGGGGAACAGTCCTTGACCTCACAACAACCCCATGAGGAAGAAACTTCCCATCCCCATCTCAGGTGAGGAAGCAGAGGCCTAAGGGCAAAGTGGCCTCCAGCAGGTGACCCATAGGGAGAGCTGGAAGTGAGCCCAGGCAGGCTGGTCCTGGTGGGGCTGGGGGATTCTTGGCCTCCCTGTGTGAGCACATGGCCAGACAGGGCCTTAGCTCCACACACTCATTTGCTAAAGCAAGGTTCACCAAGGCAGCCTGAGTACCAGGCCCAATACCCAGTGCAGCTACACCCAGCTGGGATCCCTGTGCCCACTGGGCTTAAAATCTAGTGCAAGAGATGTAGAGATGGCCTCCTGGCAACCTTGGACACAGTTTGGGGTCACAGTCACATCCTTGTCCAGTTGTATTTGGACCCATGACACTCTCCCCTGTGCCATTTCATTATGGTGGCCTCCAGACAGCTCTGCACTCCCAGCCAGATGCGCAGAACCCCTAATCAACTACCTGCCAGGCTCTAGAACAGTCTTGAAGGAGACACCGAAGGGCAGAGTGGGGAGGGAGAAGCTCCCAGGTGAGAGGGAAGGCCCAGGAAGGTGAGAAAAGAGGTAGACCTTGGTTGGCCAGGCTGAACCAGGTGGTACCTTTTCTCTAGAACTCCCTTAATCCCCCATTGGCCTCTGTTCCCTGCCCCACCCCCATCTTTCCAGGTGGTGAAGGCTGCTGCAGAGGGAAACCGAGACCAGGTCCTGCAGAAATCCCAGGACCTCAAATTCCTCACAGGATTCGAAACCAAGGTTGGGAGACATGGGAGTTACAGGGGGTTGGTGTCTGTTGGGGAACAAGTAATGGGGATCAGCCTGTCCCTACTGAGGAACTGGGGATGGTGGGGAGAGGAGGGGGGTCTATCTTTCCTGGGGAAAATGGAGATTATATGTCTAGGGGACTGGACAACTTTAGGGGATGCCTATCGATATGGGGCGGGGGTCTGGGGAAGAGTGGAGGATGCAGCTGCCTGACTACTCGGGAACCCCTGGAAAACAGGTACCACCTATCTGTCCTGGGGTTACTGCTAATGCGTAATACAGGGCAGGAAATGGATGGCTGCTTATTTAGGAGGCTCTGAGAAGAGGCCAGGACTGTTTGTTTAGAGTAAAGGGGGGGGGGGGCTGGGGTTATGGCTCAGTGGTAGAGTGCTTGCCTAGCAGACGTGAGACACTGGGTTCAATTCTCAGCACCACATATAAATAAATAAATAATGGTCAAGTAGAGTGAAAGTGGGCTGCTGCCTACTGGGGCTCTGGAAGGGGTGGAAGCTGCTTATTACTTTTGGGGGAGTTGGGGGCTTGTTTATACCTGAGTCTGCACGGAGTTGAGGTAGTCTCTTCTGGGATAAGTGAGCAGAAGACACTGTATCCATTTGGGTGCATCTGCTGTCCCCACCCCTAGGCATTCTCCGACGCCCATGTGGAGGCAGTGATGATCCTCGGGGAGCCCTTTGCTGCCCCTGGTCCTTATGATTTCGGGGCTGGGGACACTGCCCGCCGTATACAGGGTCTCATCCCCGTCCTGCTGCAGCACCGGCTGCGCCCACCACCCGAAGAGACCTACGCCCTGCATCGCAAACTGGCAGGGGCCTTTCTGGCCTGTGCCCGTCTCCACGCCCACATTGCCTGCCGGGACCTCTTCCAGGACACCTACCACCGATACTGGGCCAGTCGCCAGGCACAGCCACTGCCAGCAGCCTCCTGACCAGAGGGGCCCTCCTTGCAGACCCTATGACAGCCTCCATCTGGGGTTCCAGCTCCACAGCAGGCCATCCCTTTCCCCTTTATCCACCCCTTTTCCCTCTGTCCAGGACTGGGGAGCTCCCCCTGAGCTTCTAATCTTGCCTGGCTCCCCTTGTTGGCTCAGGAACTCCAGGACCCTGGGGCTAGGGAACTCCCAACTTCATAGCTCTTCCCAGGTCTGAACTGAGCACCCAGGAACTCTAGGCCAGGGAACCCTTTAACTGATTTCAGCCCACATCTGAGGGAGCCCGTGGCCCCTGCATGCCTTTCATGGAAACCAGACTCATCTAGAGGGGGTGCTCCTCATCTCCACTTGGGACTCCCAAGATCCAGTGGTGGAGAGATGGTTGAGCTCTCCTCACCTTTGCTTCCCTCACGCCTCCACCAGCTGCCTTCTCTATCCCAGCGTGTGTATTGGAGGGTGGGAGTGGGGGGGCGGGGTGAAACTTCCCTCCAAATAAAAGCAGCCCTCCCCTTTCCCCAGCTCTTTTCTCTGCGTTGAAGGGGAGGCGTTCACAGGCAGCCTCCAGGTGCAGATGGTCACCCCCCCCCAAAACCCCTTGTCTGAAAGCCCCAGCCCTGCCTAGGCCATCTGTTGCTGGGAACCTCCTTCTCCCCCCTACCCCCACACGTGCTGACCACCTGCTCAAGGGCTGTGGCAGCTGAGAAGCGCCCCTCCCAACACACACACACACCACACCATCTCTTGCCCTCCCAGCTTCAGGCTCCCTCCCTTGCTTCCAGCAACCTCGCCTTTGCTAATGGGCCCTAATGCCCCTGCCAGCTGCTTTGCCAAGCGCACTGGGTGGGAGTGGGGACACAGAGGCGGCCAGAACCGCGCCCAGGTCCCAGCTCCGCGCCCCAGCCCCGCAAGCCAAACTGACCGCGCTCCTGGATGCCGGGGTCTGTTCATTCCCCCTCCCCTTCATGCAAAAAGTGCCTCGTCACCGCTTCTGCCCGCCCCCGCCGTGATGGGAGAATCGTAGGGTTAGCAAGATTTGGGGATAGGGGGCGGCAAGTCGCCTCCTATAGCAATTCTTTCGGACGCAGAACTGAAGGGGATCTGAGTCAGAGGTCACAGAAGGCAAGAGAATCCAGGCCTAAACGGACCTGCGGGAGAGTCTGCCCGGCCGGCCAGTGGGCGTGGCGGGGCGGTGGCTGTACCGGAGAAGGCGGGGTTGTTCGGGCTTGGGCGTGGCCTATGGGTGGGGCGGGGTCTTTTTTGCATATACAGCAGGCGGCCGGCCAATGGGCGGGGCCGAGGCGGGAGGGACGCTCCCCGCCCCCGGAACGGAATCCTCCGGGGAGCCGAGCTGGCTCGCGCGCGTGCATCCCGCACCATCCCCCGACCCCGGGCCGGGCCCGCGTCAGACCGAGCTGCCGTTGCCGCCGCCGCCACAGCAGCAGCAGCACTGGGGAAGCCGGGCCCAACTGGGGCCGCGGGAGGCGGGGGCGCCCGGGCCCTGGATGTCCCGCAGCGCGGCGGCCAGCGTGAGAAGGGCGGGCGAGGGGGGCTTGGGTCGGGGGCGGCGCCGCTGCTGATGTGGCGGAGGGTGGGAGGCGGCCGCGGCGCCCGGATGGAGTGAGGATGCCAAGGCTAGAGAGGGTGGTCCTGGGTGGGGGTCTAAGAAGAGAACCCCACTAAATCAAACCCTGGAAGATGGGGGGCTTGGGCACAGGCTCTTTCTTGGCAAGGCTGTGGAAATGGGGATTCTGGACACAGATCACCCCAAATCAAGGGCAGGGGTACCGAGAATCTAGGTACAACTCCCTAGGCAAGGTTTTGGGGTTGGGGTCTGGGACACAGACCCCATATCAAGCCAAAGCCTCCAGGAGGCAATTGCAGACATAATCCCTACCCCTTCTTACCAGAGTGGGTCTCTGAGCACAGCCACCCGCTAAGCAAGGTCTTGAGGATGGGGTCCCAGATTACGGTTTCCCCACCAAGCCAAGGCCTGGGGGATTCCAAGCACAGACTGCCCCACTGGCCTCAGAGGCTTCCTGGGCACAGACTCCCCCCAGGACTTGGACAGCGTCCCAGCACATCCCTTCTCAAAACAAGGTCCCTGTGCCTGGGACTCCATCCCACCCCACCCCACCCTGAATAAAATAAGGAGAATTTCAGGCATCCTCCCACCCCCGCTTGAACAAGGTCCCCTAGGCCATCCCCCTTTGTCCCTAAGGCTGCCCAGCTAGCTGTCCAAGAGAGGCCCCACCTGCAGACAATGCGTGGCCTCCCCCTCCCAGACCGGACCCCCCCAGGCTCCAAGGATTCAGGCTGGGCTGGGGGCGGCTCCCCTGGGACCCGGTGAAACCCTGTCTGTCTGCAGCTTCTGCGGTGTGAGGGCGGCTTTGTGTGTGGTACCTGGGGGGAAGGGGGGAAGCAAGGGATGGGGAGGTGGCTAGAAGTGTGACCCCATGTTTGTGTGACTGTGGCTGTGTGTGTGTGCATGCGCTGCAGCTGGTGACTGAAGAATCAGCGTCATATGTCTGTATCCTTGTGTTTGTATGTAGTGGTGTCTGTGTGTGACCCCAGTATTTGTGTGACTATGTGTGAATGACAGTGGTTCACTGTGTAAAATCCTCTACTTTTTAGTCTGTTGGTGTTTGGGTGGGTACATGGTTGTGATTGTAGAGTTGTGGCTGTGGTTATGTCTTTTGTGACTCTGTATTTGTGTGCCTTGGTATGTGACAGTATATGTGTTGTCTTGGGTTGGGCATACGTGTGACTGACTGAAGAGGTGGGTGGAGTTGTGACTGTGTAAGTGGAGTTGTGTCTATGACCCCATATCAATGTGTGACTCTTCCAGTGACTGAGAATGTTATGGTTAGGCCTATAACTGATTTTATATACATATGAAACACACTACTATGTGTGTGACAGCCATACATCTGAAGTCACATTGTGCCTGTGTGACTAGGATTGTGTGAAGGCACTGTGCGTGACAGTGGTTGTATGTTCCTAGTGACTACATCTAGCTGTGTGTGTAAAACTGATTGTGTACTTACAGTCTTGCATTATGATTTTGATTATGCATTTGACTTGGTGTCTAAAACACAGGCTATTGTAAAGGGTCATTTAATTGTGTGGATGTGTCTGTGTATGCTGGTGTCAGATACCTGTGTGGATGTTCAGTGGGTGTGTATGTGACTGTGGCTTGTTTTCCTCTATGCACGTAACTTGTACGTCTGTTACCCCAGGTGACTATATATTCTTGTGTCCTAGTCTGTGAGAGTGTTTGTGTCTGTAACTGTATGTGTATGTGTGTGTGTGCACATGCGTGTGGTGGATCACCTGTTTTTCAAGTCTGTGGTTTGGTTATAAAGCAACTGGACCCTGACTGTGTACATGGCTCTGTCAAGAACCGAGACTTTTATGTAAAAACACTTATGAATGTATGTCTGGGTCACTGCATTTCTCTGTATACACTCAACTGTGTACGTGTGATGTAGGAAATTGAAACTGTGTTCTTGTCCCTATGTGTGAGATACTGTGTATGTAGGTGAGGTTGTGACTCTGTGTGCCTATTCTCATGGGGCTGCAATGATATGTGGCCACATACTTGTCTGTGTAACTGTGTGTCTGCATGAAGAGAGACTGTGTTCATGATGATGTGACATGGTACATCTATGTGTGGGACACTGACCATGACAGATGGCTGAGTAACTTGGATACTATGCGTATACCACCATTTCTGGAATGTGTGTGGCTATGTCTGAGGGTGGCCGTCCTTGGTGATATTTGTTTCTGGGTGGTTGCATGCCATGCCTTGTGTGTGTATGTCTGTTTCTCTGTAGTGTACCGGCTGTAGCCATCATTATCTCAGTGTGTGGTTACTTAGAGAGGACCATTGTATAAGAGTGGCCATCACAGAAGACTGACAGATACGGGGACCAAGTGTGAGCATCCAAGAGTGTATATGAGTGACTGTGTGACAGTGTGTAATAAAAAATAAAAAAGGTGTGTTGGCGTGATGGACACAGTAGGGCTTGAGTGTCCGTGTGCAGCTGTGGCTGTGTGGGACGTGTGTGAGTGTGGGCTTTTCAAGATCAAATGTGCGTCAGCCTGTTTCAGTGCACCCAGATGTCAGTGTGCATCAGTGGAGACAGTGTGCATGGTTGTGATGGTGTCAGTGTGTAATTGACTACTTACAGGTGACCAAATGCTGAACTCTGGCTGGGTGTGATTCTGTGGGGGGGCCTGTGATGTGGATTTCTTGGGTGGGTGCCTGAGGAAACACAAGTGTCACTGGGTGTGGTTGTACATGTGTCTCCCTCATGGGTGTGCCTACGCCCAGCTCTTTGTACGTGGCTGAAAAATAGGAGTGACCATTATCAGTCACTGGTGTAACCAGTGTCTGTGGTGGAGCCCATCACCACATATGTAGATGAGTGTCCAGGATAGAGCTATATGTATCTGCGAACATGAACATGTGACCAGATGTTCACAGTGACAGCTGTGGCCATGACTATTACGGTGTATCTCTGTGACTGGAGGTGTGTAGCTGTGATGGATGATGTCTGCGTGTAATTGAATGTACAGAATTGTGACCAGGTGCTAAGGACAAGTGTAGACATGAGTTGGCTGCATGTCTGACTGTATGTTTGTGCGTAGCCCTAGATATGTGTCTAGGACAAAGCCACTCCCCCAGCACCATCCCCTTGGGTATCAAGGGCCTCCTGAGGCCAGCACATCCCCAACGGTGCCCACCTACTCATTCCTGGGCCCTTAGAACCAGGTGGCTGATCTCCCTGGTAACAGTTGCCTTGACAACCAGGGCTCTCACCAGGGAGCCTAAGATGGAGGGGGTTGGCTGAAGTCCAAGGCAGGGTGAGGAGGGGACTGAACCCCACCCCAAACAAACTTCTCACCTTCTCCTCTCTCCCTTGGGCAGAGCGGACCCAGGAGGCCTGAGCAGCATTTGCCCCCAGCCCCCTGTGGGGCCCTGGGGCCCCCTGAAACCTTCAGGACGGAGTCAGGTGAGTGCCCAGTTTGGGAAAGGGCAGGGGCTCGTTGGGTTCCTGGGTCAACTAGCAGAACCAGAGGAACTGTCCCTGCAGTCACACAGGTTTAACTGCAAGTGTGAGTGGACACCCTCAAACATCACCTCTGCACGCTCATCAAAGCCCCCATCACAGACTCAGCCCAAAACTCTCTCACATATACCCTCTGGCATCTTCACGCTCATTGTGAGTGTGTCAGGATCACAGTCACAGAATCACATGTCCAAAGGTGCGCGCATGCATACACACACACACACACACACACACAGGCAATGATCTCTTCAAATCCACAAACATGTTTACACAGTGACAGGCACACCTGAAGATATGATTAGGGAGCTCTTTGTTCACACTAGCATGCAGGCACATGTTCACATGGATGGATCTGCACATACATCCCCAGGCAACAGCAAGACACACAGGCAGCTACAGGCACTTGCCAGCCGCAACTCTCTGTTGCGTGACGCGCACTCTCTGATGCGTACTCTTGAGAGTGGTACATGGACACAGTCCCCCAGAAAACACACACAGACCCACAATTTATAGACAACAGCTACACTTTTAGAGACACACAGCCTCACAAATAGCACTCACAGACCCAAGCTCTCCAAAAAAGCTACATTTAAGCAGAGAGTCTCACAAACAACACTTAGCACTCTCATGGATAATAGTCACAACTGGGTTATGAACACAATCTCAAAAGTGTTCATGCACACCTTCACATAAGCCCCACTGAATTACAGACACACCCTCAGAACAACACTCATGTACCCACACTCTCTAATAAGACAACATCCACATACTTTGACACAAACACACCCTTAAAAACCATAGCCACAGCCATACAACCTCACCAACAACCGCTGTCCTCTTAGAAATGGCACAGTCTTGTGAATAATCATCACACATCCGTATTCAGAAGCTACAGTCATCAAGGACAATAGAACCAACCATTGGATACAGAACCCCTCACAGACGGTATTCACAGACATACACATTTATAAAACATCCACCCGCAGACACGGATGCTTCCGTACAGCCTTCTGTACAGTGTGGACACACACAGTCGTGGCTGCCTGCGCAGATACAGACACCCTCATGGATGCCATTCCAGATATACCATCATCCACTTGCAGTCATATGCATACAGAGTCCCCGTCTGCCTGCCGTTGGTGTTTCCAGTCCTGGGTGTCTCCTCACCCTCCTCCTGCAACTGTCAGCGTGGCTTATCAGCAGTGAATATTGTCCCAGCAGCTGGCCACCTCCACCCTCATCACCTGCACCCCACATACACACACAGTCTTACCTCTGGCTGTTGCAGGCACATACCACCCCAGAGGCCTTGCCTCATCTTGACACAGTTGCCTAGGAGGAGCTGTGTCTCAGAGGCACACAGACAGGCCCCCATCTCCCCACCCACACCCCAGACCTTCTGAGCCTCCAGACTCTCACACCTCCCACACCTGACTCCTGCACCCCTGAACCATGCAACCCCGGGGCCCTCTGATCACCCCATCACCTTGTGACCCCTGACCCCCATGCCCTCTAACCCCCATGCTCTCCAACGCCTTGACCTCCCTTCCTTTGGATCCTTGTGTCAGTCACATTCCCAAACTCCAAACCCAAGTCTGTGACCTTCAACCCCCTACCCCAGATCTCTGTGCCCCTTAGCCCCACATTTTTTAATCCCTATTGTGCAACTCTCAAATTCCTCTGCCTGGAGCTGCTAGTCGCATGTCCTAAAATGCCATGTCCTTCAACCCAGTGATCCCCTAGCCCCTTAAAACCCACTCTTATGTTATCTGACCCTATTTATGTTCTAACCTCCTTCCTTGACCCATACTGCTGCCCCACGTAGACGGGGCAGGCACCATGAACAAGTTACGGCAGAGCCTGCGGCGGAGAAAGCCAGCCTATGTGCCTGAGGCGTCTCGCCCGCACCAGTGGCAGGCAGATGAGGACGCGGTGCGCAAGGGCACCTGCAGCTTCCCAGTCAGGGTGAGTGGGCGGGGCACAACGAAGGTCGGGGCTTGCTGCTGCGCACATGCGCACTTTTGTAACCTGGGGTTCTAAGCAAGATCACCAAAGGCCCTATGCTATGAGCAGGAAACTTTACGTTCTCAATTAACTGTGGAGCCCATTGGAGTGGGATCCTGGATCCTTCGAAGCTAGTATTAAAAGCCAGGACCTCCTGCCGGGCGTCATCCTATTCAATGGGGGCTCATGATTTCCAGGGGAGTAACTTCCACTACTGGAATGTCACAGTTTTGTGGCATTTGCAAAGCTTCCTGCTTTTGAGGAGCTTTCTGGTTAGACAGCCTCAGTCCTTTATACTTTTGTAAGGTAGACAGCAAGATTCAGGGCATGGGCTATGGAGCTCAGCCTCTTCTGACGGGAGCTGATATCTTTCTCCCTTGCCTGATTTTTTTTTTTTTCCCCAGAAGCAGGCCCTGAGTGTGAGAGGCTCATCTGGGAGGTGCAGGAAGTGCTGGTGAGAAGGATGGAGGGCCGTAAAAGCTGTGCTACTGAACTGTAGCTGGGGCAGCTCAGCTTCCCTCCTCTCCCTCTGCACTGGGGTTAAACCCAGGGGCACTCTACCACTGAGCTCCACCCCAGCCCTTTTTATATTTTGAGACAGGGTCTTGCTAAATTGAGAAGGCTGGCCTCAAACTTGTGAACCTCCTGTCTTGGCCTCTCAAATCACTGGGATTAGCACATCTCTGGGCCAGTCTGAGCAGCTGAACTTAATCCCCCTGGGGAACCTGAGAAGCAGCCACTCCACCTGCTCAGGAGGGAGCTGGGACATATGCCCCACCTCCCATCACTCACTGCACGGGGAGAGGGCACTGGCCCAAGCTCTTTCTACCTGCCTGACCGGCCAGGGGGCAGCAGCATGATGTCCTCAGGCAAAGAGATGCAAATACTTACACTCAATTCAACACTGAAGTGTTAAAGCCCAGGGACATACAAGGACAGGAACCATGACCATAAAAGGTTCTATAGTTTCTGGTCTGCTTATCTGGGTAGGAATAGGATGTCCTCCTTGTAGAGTTGAAGTGCAGAGTGAATTAATGTGTGACACGCTTAGAACATTGCCTGATGTGTGGCAGATGCTCAGCGAACACTGGGAATTATTGATTACTGTGCTTATCTCCTGTTCTCCCATCCCCCACCCAAGTACCTGGGCCACGTGGAGGTGGAGGAGTCCCGGGGGATGCACGTGTGTGAAGATGCTGTGAAGAAGCTGAAGGCGGTGAGTGAGGGGCTGGAGCCAGGGAGGGGACAGCCTGATGGGAAGAGGCAGGCCTAACCAGGCCCCTCTGTCCCCCACCCTACTCCAGATGGGCCGGAAGTCCGTGAAGTCTGTCCTGTGGGTGTCCGCCGATGGACTACGAGTGGTGGATGACAAGACCAAGGTAGGAGGCCCGTGGGGGTCGGGTGGGCACCAGTGGGCACCTCTCCTCCTCATATTGGGGCTGAGGACACCTTCCCACCCACTCTGGGATGTCCCTCCCTCAGGAGTCTCCTAGACTACACCATGTGTTCCTGCAACGACTTGGCTCTCCTCACAGTCCTAATTTAGGAATGAGGGCTATGGTTATTTGTGAGTTGGTATCCAGAGTGGGTGAAAGCATGGACCGGAGCAGCCACCTCAGCACCAGCCCTCCCACACACCAGCTGGGGGACCCTGGGCAGGAGATTAAACTGTTCTGGGCCTCCATTGCCTCATCTAAAAAGTGGGGCTCCTAACAGACCCCTCCTTCAAATGAGAAAGTATGTGCAAACTGTTTAAAACACTGCCTGGAACTCTGTAGCTGCTCATGCCCATAAATGTTAGCTGTTATGTATTGTCAGTCTGCCCCGCCAGACAGGAGCATCATGGGGCCAGGAACTCGGTATCTGGCTTTGTTTCTTTTTCACTGTTTTTATGGAGCTGGGAGTAGAACCCAGGGCATCTTGTATGCTAGACAAGGGCTCTACCACTGAGCTCCACCCCCAGTCCTGGGTATCTGTTTGCTTTCCATTGAATCCCCTGCTTCCAGGCCAAAGACTACTCGGGGAGGCACCCAGGATACTCTGGGAGTTGAGTTACTGACAGAACAGTTTTGCACAGACTGAATACTGTTCCCTGCCTTTTTGCCTCATTAATACCTCCCCCAGGAAATTCTGCCTAACTCCCCACAAGCACCTGTTCTTGGCTCCTGCAGGACGCTGTGCCTCCCATCCCGGCTGACCCACCTGTCTGTGCCTCCCTCATTATACTTTGGCTGTAACTGTGGGCTGGGCCATCTCCATCTCGTGGTGGATCTGACTTCCCCACTGAAGTGGGAGTCTCCACCAGGCAAGGCCCAGAGCTGTCTCAGTGACTGCTGGGTCCCCTCACCCTGTTCAGGATGATTCAGTGCAGATGCTAAGGGAGTTTTGAATGAATATGTGAAAGACAGTTCACACCCTCTCCTGGCCTCCCGGTCCCTCCTAGGATCTGCTGGTAGACCAGACCATTGAGAAGGTCTCCTTTTGTGCTCCTGACCGCAACCTGGACAAGGCCTTCTCCTATATCTGCCGGGATGGCACCACCCGCCGCTGGATCTGCCACTGTTTCTTGGCGCTCAAGGACTCCGTGAGTATGGCCAAAGGCCGTCGATTCCTCCCCCTTTGCTCTGGGGTGTCCTGGAGTCCCAGCAGGCTGCAAGGACTCGGCCAATTCGTTCTGTGCCCGGTTTCCTCATCTGGAGATGGGGTGGTGTCCTCACAGTTTTTAGAGGATTCTTGTGGGACTTAAGTGGGTTAATACAAAGCACTGGGAACAGTGCCTAGCATATCCAAGTGCTTAGGAAAACATTATCATCACCCTTGTCACCACTAGTTCTTTATGTATGTCGTGAAGTGCACAGATGGCCGGTGCACAGCTGTGGATTTTTGCTTATGTATAAACCTGGCCCAGATCAAGTTATAGTTTCCTGCCCCCAGATGCTCTCTTGGGTCCTTCTCAAACAATACCCCAGGGCATCTGCTCTTCATTCAGCCTCAATACATTCACCCTGGCATTCTTCATATTTTAAGTCCCCTCTGAAAATTTGATGACAGCAAGAAAAGAATCCTCTTTTCAGAAGTATTCTCCAGAGTTAGGCTACTGAGGCTTATGACAGAAGACTCTCAGATACTATGATTCCAGCAAAATAGAAGTTTGTTTCTGTATCACGTCAGGGACATCCCCACACAGGGAGAGCATCACTGGTGTGGCCCCTCTGTACTCATCTTGCTGCTCCTCCAGAGTGTGGCTCCTGCTTTGTGATCCAAGATGGATACATATGCTCCAGCCTTCATTCCAGTCAGCACAAAGGAGAGGGGCCTGAGGATAGGCACGCCTTCTTCTTTGTAGGAGGCATAGCCCTTCCAATGACATCCCACTGGACAGTATCTGGTCACGTGGAAATTCCTAGCTGCAAAAGATGGTGGAAAATTTAGTCTATTACATCCTATCCCCTGGTCCCTGACTTCAAACCCTACACAACTCTTGTAAGAAGCCCCAGTCTCTTTCTCCTACATTAGCCAGTATTACTTGGTTGCTAGCAATAAAAATTAATCTGGCTAATTAAAACCCAGAATGAGATTCATGGAAGGGTATGAGGAATCACACAAAATTGAAAGGTACTCAGAAGCAGCATGTGTCTGAGAAAGGCGCCTCGGGATGCTGTTCCAGCGGGAAGTTCCTTCAGGGCACCATGGTGAAAGAAATCTCCAACACTCTGGGTTCTAATTCTAATGAGAGAGCTTGGAATTGGCCTAGCTTGGGTCAGTCTTCTCCCAAGACGGAGTCCAGTGGCCACATGGTCCAGGGAGGGTGGAGCGCCTGGGTTGGCATATACAGTGTGAAAGGAGGTCCCCAAAGGGAAACTGGGAGCTGTTACCAAAAGCTGAGGAGTGGATGCTGCTGAGTGATGCAACAGCCGCCCATCACAGACCCTAGCACTCTCCACTCAAGTATTCTCCATTTTCTTTCCCTTCATATTTTAGAAATCTCCAACCTAAATAGCTTTAAGCCCCTACCCTCCCTGTTGCGCACATAAGTTCAGCACTGAAATCAGAGTGGAAAACAAATTTGAAAGTATCAGTATTGATTAGTTGGTATTGGTATTGAGTGGTGCCTACTGGGGGCTGGTATGGAGATATCAGAAACCCAGAGACCATGGCAACTGCTATTTGCTGAGCCCAGCAGAGCAAATAGTGGTCATATCAGTTATTGATTGCTTGGAAACATGTGGCTTAAACTTACACTCAGTTGTTATCTTTCATGGTTTCTGAAACAAATCTCATTCCAAAACATTTTCCTCACCCCTAAGAGAAATCCCATACCCATTAAGTTCTCACTCCTTGTCCCCACCCCTACCCCGAAGCCCCTGGCAGCTGCTAATCTGCTTCTTTCACTGTGGATTTACCTATTCTGGATATTTCACTCAATGGAATCATGTGGTATGTGACCTTTCATGTCTGTCTTCTTCACTTTGTATATGTTTTCAAAGTTCATCCTTCCTGTGGCATGAATCAGAGCTTCCATCCTTTTTATAGCTGAATAATATTCCATTGAATGGACATGTACTATGTTTTATTGATCTTTTCAGCCCTCCATGGACATTTGGATTGTTTTTGCCTTTTGGCCTTTGTGAACAATGCTGCTATGGACATTTAGGGACAAATATTTGCTTGAATACCTGATAGGTCAGGAATTTGGGGGAAAGTCCAGCCGGGTGGCTCTGGATCCAGGGTCTCTGAGGTCACTGTTTCAGACAGTGTCTGGGGCTGTAATACCAGACATTTTTCTCTCTTCCTGTGTTCTCAGGACTTTTCCACAGGTCTTCCTTTTCTTTTCCTTTTTTGAATCCAGGGATGCTCTACCACTGAGCTACATTCCCAGCCCTTTTTGAGACAAGATCTTGCTTAGTTGCCTGGGCTGGACTTGAACTTGTGGTCCTCCTACCTCAGCCTCCTGAGTAGTTAGGATTATAGGTGGGCCAGGGAGTCTTTCCAACATGGAGCATTCAGAAGAGCTCAGGGCTCCAAAGTGAGTCTCAAGAGAGGGAGAAAGAGAAAGGGGTAGGAGAGAGGAGGTGGGGGGAGAGAGAGACTTAGAGAGAATGAGGAGGAAGCCATGTGGCCACTGGACTCCGTCTTGGACATCACCTAGCATGGCTCCCATGGCACTCCATTTGTCCAGTCAATCACAGAGGTCTTCCCAGGTTAAGGGGAAAAGGACGCAGACTTCACTTCTGATGGGGGAGTGAAAAGTTCTGGAAGAACATGTGAAGCCAGAAATTTGTCATGGCTATTTTTGGAAAACCCACTGCCACATGGTTAGTGGTGTGCATTCAGTGTCCAAGCACCTGGCCGTGGGTGGGACAATGGGCACAAATGACGTCTCCCCTCTGGGGATAACAGCCGTGGTTCCTCACAGGTTCACTGTGGAAGCCTTCATTAAGATCACACGCAGAAAGTTCTAAGCAGAGTCCAGAAGCAAGTGTTCAATAAGTTGGAATTATTTAGCAATGAGACTCAAGCTATTTGGGGATGAGAGTCAAAGCTGGAGAAGATCGGGGCCATCTGCTGTGGGTAGAGAATGTGACTGTGGGCGAATTCTTCCCACTTCCAAGCTTCAGGTTTTAAATATTAGCAGTGGAATCCCCAAGATTCCTCAAGTTCGACGTATTTTTTTTTTAGGTGAAATTCATATAAAGCCAGTCATTTTAAATTGTTACAGTGCAGTGGCATTTAGTACATTCACAATGGTGTTTAACTGTCAACTCTATCTAGTTCCAAAACATTTTCCTCACCCCTGAGGGAGACCCCATGCCCATTAAATACTTATTTCCTGTCCCCACACCTACCGATGAAGCCCCTGGACACCGCTCATCTGCTGGCCTCCTCTGTGGATTTACCTATTCAGGATATGCCATTTAGTGGAATCATGTACCGTGTGACCTTTTGAGCCTGGCTTCCTTCACTTAGCACGGTTTCCAGGTTCATCCATGTTGTGGTATGAGTCAGAGCCCAGTCCTTTTATAGCTAAGTAACATTGCATTGTGTGTATATGGACCCATTTTGTTTATTGATTCATCCCTCCATGGACATTGTGTGTGCCTTTGCCTTTTAACTATTGTGAGCATTGCTGCTCTGGACATTTGTGTGCGTGTATTTGTTTGAATATCTGCTCAGGTCTTCGGGGTGTGTACCTAGTAGTGGAATAGATGGTTATATGAGAACTCCCTGTGTAACTTCTGGAGAAATGGTCAAATTATTTTCCACAGTAGCTACACCATTTTGCATCCACACTTACAGTGAATGAGAGTTCCAGTTTCTCTGCATCCTTACTGACACTTGTTATTTTCCTTTTATAAAATTATAACCATTCAGGGCTGGGGCTGGGGCTCAGTGGTAGCACACTTGCCTGGCATGTGTGAGGCACTGGGTTCGATTCTCAGCACCATGTATAAATAAATAAAATAAAAGTCTATCAACAACTAGAAAAAAAATGAAAATTATAACCATTCTATGAGGTATGAAGTAGCATCTCATTGTAGCTTGTTTTACATCTCTATGATGGTTAATGATGTTGAGCATCTTTTGTGTGTGTTTATTGGCTCTCATATCTTCTCTGGAGAAGATTCTATTCCAGTCCTTCACTCATTTTTAAATTGGGTCAATTTCATTTTTTAAAAAATAATTTTAGTTGTAATTGGACACAATACCTTTATTATATTTATTTTTATATGGTGCTAAGGATTAAACCCAGCACCTCACATGTGCTAGGCAAGCACTCTACCGCTGAGCCACAACCCCAGCCTGGGTCAATTTCATTTTGCTGTTCAATTGTAAGAGTTCTTTATATATTTGGATACTAGACCCTTATCAGATATATGACTTGCAAATATTTCACCCCATTTTGCCATTTTATTCTTACTTCCTTGAGTATCCTTTAATACACAAAGGTTTTTAATATTGCTCAAATAAAATTTGTCTGTTGTTTTCTTACATTTAGGTCTGTGATCCATTTTGAGTTCATTTTTGTTTTGCACTGGGGATTGAACTCAGGGCCTTATGCATGCTAGACAAACGCTGTACCACTCAGCTACATCTCTAGCCCTTAGAATTAATTTTTGCATATGATGTCAGTTATGGGTTCAACTTCATTTTTTTTTTTTCATATGGATATCCAATTTTCCAAGCACCATTTGTTGAAGAAACTATTTTTTCCCCATTGAATGGTCTTGGTACTGCTGTTGAAAATCAATTGACCATACACAGATGGGCTTATTTCTGGGCTCTCAACTCTATTTCATTCATTTGTGTGTCTGTCCTGATGCCAGTCTGTACTGTTTTGCCTAAGATAGTTTTATGTAGTAAGTTTTGAAATCAGGAAGTGTGATTCTTCTACTTTATTTTTTTTCCAAATTATTTTGGCTATTCTGGATTCTTTGGAATTCTATATGAACTTTAGAATCAACTTTTCCATTTCTGAAAAGAGACCATTGAGGTGTTTTTGTTTCTGGTACTGAGGACTGAACCTAGGGACACTTAACCACTGAGCCATCTCCTGGCCCCATTTTTATTTTTTATTTTGAGACAGAGTCTCACTATTGCTTAGGGCCTTGATAAGGTTCTGTGAGACTGGCTTTGACCTTGCAATCCTCCCACCTCAGCCTTCTGACCCAGTGGGATTACAGGCTTGTGCCACCGTGCCCAGCTCCCATTGGGATTTTGATAGGGATCTCATTAAATCTGTAGATCACTCTGGGGAATATTGCCATCTTAACCATATTAAACCTTTTAATTTAAGAGCATAGGATCTTTCTATTTATTTAGATCATCTTTAATTTCTTTCAGCAATGTTTTATAGTTTTCAATGTATAAATGTAAAACATATACATTGAAAATATATTTATTCATAACCATTTTATTCTTTTAAATATTATTATAAATGGAATTGTCTTAATTTCATTTTTGGACTGTTCATTGCTGAGTGTGTTGATCTTATATTCTGCAGTGTTGCTAAATTTATTAGCAATAATTGTGGAATTTTTAGGATTTTCTATATAATACCATGTCATCTGCAAACAGGAATCATTTTACTTCTCCCTTTCCAGTTTGGATGCCTTTTCCTTTTCTTATCAAGTTACTCTTCTTTATTCCTCCCTTGCAGTACTGGAGATTGAGCCCAGTGCTTCACACATGCTGGGCAAGTGCTTACTACTAGGCTACATCCGAAGCCTTTTTTAGCTTTATTTTGAGATAGAGTCTCACTAAGCTGCCCAGGTTAGCCTCAAACTTGTGATCCTGCTGCCTAAACCTCCCAAGTCACTGGGATTACACTGCTCATGGCTCCCTCTAATTGCTCTTAGCAGAACTTAATAACAAATAGTGTGAGGAAATCGGAGCTGGGCATGGTGGGTGGCAAGCGATTATAGTCCAAGCTACTCCAGAGGCTGAGTCAGTGAACCACTTGAGCCCAGGAGTTCACGGCCAGTCTGTGAGACCTTTAAAAAGTGGGTTGGGAGAGGGCATCCTGTCTTGTTCCCAATCTTAGATGGAAAGTTTTTTGTTTGTTTGTTTTTTAAGCATTTATTGCCTTTTTAATGTGTTGCTGAGTCTACCCCAGGTGCAGATCTATTTTTTTTTCATGTGATGCTGGGGATTGAACCCAGGGCCTTGTGCATGCTAGGCATGCACTCTACCAACTGAGTGATGTCCCCAGCCCAGATAGGAAAGTTCTTAGTCTTTCACCCTGGAGTATGATATATACTGTGAGTTGTTTTTTGTTTTGTTTTGTTTTGTTTATATCACAGGTTGAACTCAGAGGCACTCAACCACTGAACCACATCCCCAGCCCCATTTTGTATTTTATTTAGAGACAGGGTCTCATTGAGTTGCTTAGCACTTCACCATTGCTGATGGCTGGCTTTGAACTTGAGATCCTCCTGCCTCGGCCTCCTGAGCCGCTGGGATGACAGGCATGTGTCACCGTATCTGGCTGTGAGTTTTTTATAGATATCCCTCATAAGGCTGAGAAAGTTTCCTTCTATTCCTGCTTTGTTGAGTGTCTATCATAAAAGGACATTGAGTTTTGTCAAGTGTTGTTTTTTTCCACATCAATTGAGATAGTTATCTTTCTTTCCCCCTGATGCGGTTTTCTTCCTCTTAACGTGGCACATTATATTGATTGACTTTCTCATATTGAACCAACCTTGCATTGCCAGGATAAATCCCACTTGGTGACAGTGTATAACCCTTTTAATATGCTATTGGGTTCAATTTACTATTATTTTATTGAGGATTTTGTTCTCAAGTTTTCTCAAGTTTAACTTTCAGAGGTGGCTGAGCATCTTAGTTAGAAAATCAAAGTCAGATAAAACGCATGTGAACCCCAACTCTGCCACTCTAGTCATTGCAATGGATGTGTTGATGTCCCATCTGAGCCCCAGTTTCCTCATCTGTAAAGTGGGTTCACAAGAGGGTTCACTGCCTGGCACTCTTGGGAGGATCCCATGAGAGGATGCGTATCAGGATTCAACCCAGGGCTGGACAGATTGATGCTGACATATATGTGGTATTTCCTGTGTCCAGCTTTGTGCTGAATGCCTGACATATATTAGTTCACCTAATTTTTGCTACAACCCTGTGGAATAGGCACTGTTAGCATCCACATTTTACCGAAAGAAGAAGTCCAATATTGGAAGGTGAAGTGATTTTCTTGAGAAAATCTTGGGAAGTGGGAAGCCAGTGTCAATCCCAGGCCACTGGGCCTTAGAACCTCACAGATAGGCTCTCAAGAACAGTGACCATCATTTTTCCCCAATATTTTATTGTAAAGTTTTTCCAAGCATGCAGCAAAGTTGATGGACTTGTACAGTCACCCACCCCATAGATTTTTTTTTTTTTTGAGATAGGGTCTCACTGAGATGCTTATTAGCACCTTGCTAAGTTGCTGAGGCTGGCTTTGAACTCATGATCCACCTGCCTCAGCCTCCTGAGCTGCTGGAATTATAGGTGTGCCCCACCGTGGCTGGCTCACCCCAAATCTTACTGTTAACACTTGCCTGGGCTTGCTTCACCACATATGTATCCATCTTATTTGGAGGATGAATTTCAATGTTGCAGATGTTGCAGACATCAAAATCTTCACCCTAAACACTTTGGCATGTGTTCCATTAGATAAAATTCATATTTTTCTTTCAAAGTAAAACATGTTTGTCTTGATCAGTTCAGGCTACTGTAACCCAATACCACAGACTGGGTGGCTTAAAAAAACAAGCATTTATTTCTCACAGGCCTGGAGCCTGGAAGCCCAGATCAGAGTGCCAGTGTGGTGAGCGTTCTATTCCTGGTTTGCACATGGACTCCTTGCTCTGTCCCCACACGGAGGGGGTGGGTGGATCTTGTGTCTCTTGTTCTTTTTCTAAGGCCACTAATCCTATCACAGGGACCCCACCTCCAAGTACCATTGCATTGAGGTATTAGGGCTTCAACATATGAATCTGGAAGGGGACACAGACATTCAGTTCATAGCAACACTGTGCACATTTGCTGAGTTCTGACAACTGCATACATCTGTGAAACTCCAGCTCCTACCAAAGTCTAGAACACTGCCACCACCCAGAACAAACACTCCTGCCCCTGCCCGCTCTGGAAGAAACAATGATTGTCTTTCCTTTCCCATCGCAGTTTTGCCTTTTCTACAATTTCACATGAGTGGAGCTCTGGCTTCTTTTCATGAGGGGCCCCCCATCATTTGTCTTTTTTTTTTTCCTTTTCCCCTCTGAATTGGGGATTGCACCAGGGGCACTCTACCATTGAATACACCCCAAGCACTTCTGTTTTATTTTTATTTTGAGACCGGATCTCACTGAGTTGCTGGGGCTGGCCTTGAACTTAAGATAGCATAGAACCACAGTACCTGGGATATACCCAATATTTTAAAAACATTTAAAATATAGTTATATATAGTTATATATGGACACAATACTTTTATTTATTTATTTTTGTGTGGTGCTGAGGATCCGACCCAGTGCCTCACACATGCCAGGCAAGTGCCCCACCACTGAGCTATAACCCCAGCCCCACCTAATGTTTTCATTTTTTGTTTGATATTGGGGGATACCAGAGATTGAACCCAGGGATTGAACTCAGTGCTTAAGCACTGAGCTGCATTCCCAGCACCCTCACCCACTTTTAAAAAAATTTGGAGAGGTACCAGCGATTGAACTCAGGGGCACTTGACCACTGAGCCACATCCCCAGCCCTATTTTGTGTTTTATTTAGAGACAGGCTCTCACTGAGTTGCTTAGCGCCTCGCCATTGCTGAGGCTGGCTTTGAAGTCACCTTCCTCTTGCCTCAGCCTCCCCAGCCGCTGCGATTACAGACTTGCCCTGGCTTTGCTTTTGAGAGGTGGTTTCTCTTTTGCTCAAGCTGGTCTGGAATTCCCAGGCTCAAGTAATCTTCCTGCCTCAGCCTCCTGAGTAGCTGGGACTACCCTCTCCAACATTTTTTTTTTCTTTTATTCTTTTTGTGGTGCTGGGGATGGAACCCAGCGCCTTGACAAGCATTAGGCAAGCGTTCTACCACTGATCTAAACCGCCAACCCAAAGGACTGCTGTTTGTAATCCTGGTGCAGTTGAGCACGAGGCCCAGAGAGGGAGAGGGACTCATGTGAGGGGCAGATGAGCTCCAGCACCTAGTGGCAGGAACTCTACTCCTGGCTTCCAGTCCTTCAGCCTGTGGGATAGTGTCTCTAACCCTGGGACCTCTCCGCACAGGGTGAGAGGCTGAGCCACGCAGTGGGTTGCGCTTTCGCTGCATGCCTGGAGCGCAAACAGCGACGAGAGAAGGAATGCGGGGTCACGGCCGCCTTCGATGCCAGCCGCACCAGCTTCGCGCGCGAGGGCTCCTTCCGCCTGTCGGGGAGCGGGCGACCCACAGAGCGCGAGGCTGCGGACAAGAAGAAAGGTGGGTGCTGCCTGACATTGGGCGGATGCAAGTGGGCTCCCTATTTTGCGGGCGATTGGGGAGGGTGAGTAATGAAGCACAGGGACACAGAGACCCTGCTGCTGGCTGCAGAGTTTGGTTTTAGTTTATAAAACCAAAAATCTTCAGTCTAAAGAGTTTATTGGAGCAAAGTGCTGCCGGCCAGGAACCAAAGTTCACCAAGTCCGGGTGCCCCAGAGTTTTCTGCCCTGTGTATCAAGACTTGCAAAGTTGGTTGGCCGAATTATGGCCAGGATTTTAAAAAATGAAATAGAATAGAAAATATCAGAGTACATTGACTGTTAAGTATAATATAATGATACATTTATTTCATTGTGTGTGTGATGGCTTCACACTTAAAAGATGCATCTTACTAGGAGTTGCTATCCTGAAAGAATGAGGGCAGGGCATGTGACAAAAATAATAAAAAGCAATGCTCAAGTATGCAGTGCTTCCATTTACAAACATTTCTCTTAGCATTTACATAGGATGTTAGAACTTAACAAAGAATGTTGTCAGGTGCAAACTCTATTACAAGTGCTTTTGAATTTGCAAAGAGTTTGTTCCCAAAGGATATGCTAATTTTCAGGGACTTTGCATTGCTGAAGGCACTTCACTGTTTGCACAGCCAAATAGGAGTTTACAGTGAAGTCTGATTTGCTGCACATCTCACAGTGTGCTGCTGCTGCTGCTTTTGCGGCTGCGCTGAATCACAGCCTGGAGGCACTAGGTTTTCTCAGCGCTGGGGAGCAATGCACTGGCCACAGCAGAGTTGTTTATGAAGCTTTTGTCGGATTCCAGAGCACTGAACATTCACTACCTTAACTGACCTTTCCAGGAGGCTTGGGGAGGTAGCCTAGGGATGTTTATCCCAGGTTTCTAGTCGGGAAACTGGAGCCCAGAGAGGGGAAGGGACTTCCTGAGGTCATAGAGTGAGATGGTGAAGAGAGGTAGATTCCCAGTCCAACCTGTCCTGGGCTATTTCCATGGCCCTGGGCCCTGTCTGGGTAGGCTTGTCACCTCATGATGGAAGAAATGCCCTGGGTGACATCCCTCCAGGGGATATAGCTCTGATGGGGTCGTGTTTGGAGGAAGAGTATATGTCTGTGGATTGGTGTGGAGAGTGGGAACCTGCCTTGAGAACACTGCCTGTGGTGCCAAGTGGGAAGCCAGGTGTCCCCAGACGACAATCCCAGAGTAGAGGGAGCTCAGAGGGAGGGGCTGGAACAATCTGGAAAGCTTCCCAGAGGATGAATCCTGCCAAGCCCTGACTAGGAAGGAAGAGGGTCCCTTGAGGTGGGAAGAATGGTGGGAAGTAGGGAAACAAAGATAGGGACAGAGGGAGAGGGACAGAAAAACAGTACACTGAGGACAGACCAAGCCCAGACATGCAGGGGCCGGTGAGGGCAGGCAGGTGAAACAGACTCCAGAGGCAGCCTGCCCTGTCCTGGTGGTGTCACTGGCCTTTGTTGGACCTTGGTTTCCATCTCTGTAAAATGACAATGGTCTTGACCTGGTGGGTGGTCATGTGGGTTGAGCAAATTCTTGCAGAGCCCCTGGAACAATGCCTGATAAGTTGTTTGCACACCAAATAAGTGTTTGTAAATTATCAAAAAGGAAGATAATCTCCAAGGGAGAAATGGCCAGAGCAGGGGAGGAAAACAGATCAGGGACAGAAAGCTAGAGAGACACAGAGGGTCACTATGTGGGGGACAGTTCTCCAAGGGACTCCTAGGAAAGGTGATCTTAACTTGGATGGGGGTCAGGGACGTTTCAGGGCTCTGTTGAGGGCAGAATAGATCGGGGAATGGTCAAGAGGACTGGCGGGAGAGGTCCGAGCTGCAAGATGAGATGTCTAACCTGCTGTCTTCCCATGTCTCCAGCAGAGGCAGCAGCTGCCCCCACTGTGGCTCCCGGCCCTGCCCAGCCTGGGCATGTGTCCCCGACACCAGCCACCACATCCCCTGGTGAGAAGGGTGAGGCAGGCACCCCTATGGCCACAGGCACCACTGCAGCTGCCATCCCCCGGCGCCACGCCCCTCTGGAGCAGCTGGTTCGCCAGGGCTCCTTCCGTGGGTTCCCAGCGCTCAGTCAGAAGAACTCGCCTTTCAAACGGCAGCTGAGCCTACGGCTGAATGAGCTGCCGTCCACACTGCAGCGCCGCACTGACTTCCAGGTGAAGGGCACAGGTGAGCCCTGGGTTCAGTGGAAAGGGGCTTCGGCATCAGCAGTATTTGGTGTGGGCAGGGCCAGAGGAGAGGTGGTACTCATCGTTCCTGATTAGCACTGTCTGCCAGAGAGGTGGAACGTATCATGATCAATTAACAGTGTCTGCCATGGGCAAGGAACAGAAGATGCGTAGCACAGATCATGATTGTTTAGCCATAGCTGCTATGGGAAGGGGTAGCAGAGAGGTATCACCTGTCATGATCAGTTAGCGGTGTCTGCTGTGGTTAAGGGAAGGGAGCAAGATGGCGCACACCACGATTGGTTAGAAAATCAGCTAGAGTACATTCACAATAGCCAAACTGTGGAACTAGCCTAGATGTCTGTCAATGGGTAAATGGATAAAGAAAATGTGGTACATATACCCAACGGAGTTTTATTCAACCATAAAGAAAAATGAAATTATGACATTTGCAGAACAATGAATGGAACTCAAGAACATTGTGTTAAGTGAAATAAGCCAAACTCAGAAAGTCAAAGATTGTATTTTTTTTCCTCATATGTGGAAGCTAGAGAGGAAAAAGAAAAGAAAGATAAAGAGGGATCAGTAGAGTGGAGGAAAACTAAATGGAGATCAGTAGACTGGAGGAAAGGGGGGAAACTGGGGAATTATATTGGCCAAATTATATTGCTACATCATGTGCACGTATGAATATATAACCATGATCCCACCATTATGTACAAATATAATACATCAATAAAAATATGTAAAAGGGGGGACTGGGGAAATAGCTCAGTTGGGAGAGTGCTTGCCTTGCATGCACAAGGCCCTGGGTTTGATCTCCAGCAAAACTCACACCCACACACACACAAAGAAAAAATATATGTGTGTGTGTGTGTGTGTGTGTAAAAGGTAAAAAAAAAAAAAGAAAAATCTGCTATAGGCAGAGAAGTCTACCATGGGCAAGGGAAAGAAGAGAAGCAGCACAGGTGTCCTCTTTTGCTCAGGAGTAGGCTAAAGCATCATGGTCTAATGCCCTTCCCAAGCATGTGGCCAGTAGAACCATGAGATCTGGCCAGGTGAAGGATAAAGGTCCTCAGGATCACAGCAGAGGAGGATTGTGATAGATTAGCACTGTGTGCCTGAGGCAGGAAGAATAGAGGGATGGTGGCGTACATCATGAACTCCTGACAGTGTCTGCCATGAGCAAGAAAAAGAAGAGAGTCGGCCTGTTTGCTATATTATTAATTAGCAAAGTTTGCCATGGGCAGGGGAGAAGAGAGAGCAGCTGGGTGTTATGCCTTTGCCCAAAGGAAAAACTCCCAGAATTTGGTCAGTGGAGCCTTGAGGTCTGGCCAGGTAAGAGGTCTGGCCAGGTAAGAGGTCTGGCCAGGTAAAGAACTTAGTGAGAGAAAATGGCCTTGTATTCTGTTGTTGTCTGCCATGGGCCAGGGAAAGGAGAGAGGTGGCAGGGTACCATGTTTTTGCTCAAGAGAGACAGGTAGGAGGTCTACTTGCCCTCCTAGCAGTCTGGGAAGCCATGCGCTCTGGCCCACTCTCTTGCTTCCATATGTCAAATCTGGGACTTCTGTCCCTTATGGCTTGAGGATTGGTGTGGGAGGGTGTTGATTTGTATCCACTGTTGAGCAGATGCCAGTGCACATTGAGAATGACGCACACTTGCTCCGCGTCCTGCAGCATTCCCAAACTGTCACACACCCTCACATATGCTGTCCTCGCACAGCCTGACATTAAACGCCACTCAGGTCCCTCACACCGGCGCCCTGAGGAGCGGCAGGCTCCCGGGCTCTGTCCAGGAGCCTCACACTCCTGCAGCCAGCTGCACACTCACTTGAACTTGCCCCATAGAAATTTCAGACACCAAAGTCACACTCTTATACATGTCACACACACTTAGAGGTCACAGACTTAGAGGTACATATGTGCAGAAATCTCACATGCTCAGAAGTCACATACCCAGATGACACAAATACACATCTGGATCCACACAAACTTGGTAGCTACCATGTAGATTTGTGGAAATTCTCTCTCTCTCTCTCCCTCTCTCACACACACACACACACACACACATACACACACACACCCCTCTCCATCACACAAGCGAAATCACTCACATTCACACTTGGGAATGGCACGTCAGAATGCCTCACACTTGAACTTCAGTCCCACTCAGAGGCTCTACCCTCAGGCGCCACATGCCTGTTTCCACGAACACAGTCTTCATGGACATTGACCTGGAAACCACACGGCCCCCACCTGGGACCCTATGTCACACATGCTTTTTTCTGATGCTCCCTAGAGCATCCCACGTGCCCCCTGGAGATAGTTACTTACTAAAATGTCACAGATGCTTGTCACACATCACACATGGCAGCTCTTTGCTTATTTGGATGATACCTGCATTCCTCCCAAGCCCTCACAAGGCCACCATGCCTGCTCCACGCCTCCTGTCTTGCTGACATAGGTGCAGCACTGCCCTCATGACATAGGTGATAGGCCAGCTGCTTGGGTGGCGGGGGAGTCGCATCTTTACCCAAGTAGGATACATGATCCCCCCTGATGAACAGCACGTGGCCCGCCTTCATGCTGACCAGCCCATGCTCTTGCCATATAGGCAGTGGAACGCGTTTTCTAAATTAATATGTCTTTAAACATTTTATGTATTTCATGGGAGGAAGGCACACTGGGGATCGAACCCAGGGGCATTCTGCTATGAGCTGCATCCCCAGACCTTTTTATTTTTTTTAATTTAGAGACAGGGTTTCACTAAGTTGCTGGGGCTGGCCGCAAACTTGGGAGTAGCTGGGATTACAGGTGTTTTACTGTGCCCAGCTTGTTAAACATTTTAAACATCACTTGTGGTTTGTGGCCACTCATATATTTCTTGGGGTCCTTGGTTTGGGGTCTCTGCCACTGCCAGTCATCAGATGTCACATACTGACTTGTCTGTTTACCACTCAGATGTTTCTCTCTCACCCACACAGTTATTTTAGTGGCCATAGCCATCTAGTGACTATAGAGTGGCCCTGGTGCAGGGAAAGTGCAGGGCTGCAGCAGTGCCCAGGGCTATTTGTTGACCTCTGCCCTTCCTGACTTCCCAGTACCTGAGATGGAGCCTCCTGGTGCCAGTGACAACGATGGCATCAGTGCTCTGTGTACACAGATCAGCTCATCTTTCGCCAGTGCTGGGACAGCAGCATCAGGGCCCCCATCTGCCACAACAGGTAAGTCCTTTGGTGTCTTCCATCAGGACAGATCCCCTAAAGTGCCCTCCTGCATTCCTCTTCTCTGTTCAGGGCTACCTTGGAAACCTCAGGGATCTTGAATGGTCAAGTATTGGAATCAGCTTAGAGCCATGGATCAGCTCAGAGCCAAGGATCAGCTCTGAGCCATGGATCAACCTAGAACCATGGGATCAGCTTAGAACCATGGGTCAACTTGGAGCTATGAGATCAGCTCAGAGCCGTGGATCAACTCAGAGCCATGGGATCAGCTCAGAGCCATGGATCAGCTTAGAGCCATCGATCAATTTAGAGCCATGGGATTGGCTTAGAACCGTGGATCAGCTTAGTCCTCTAGGATTATCTTAGAACCATGGATGACACTCAAATGCATGCATGGCCTCCTCCTTGAAACAGGCGAGAACCTCAGGATCTCAAATAGTATAATTGTAGACCTCTAGACCCTTAGAAAACACAAACTTAAAACAATCGAATCTTCTGTGTTGGAACAGTAAACTCTGAGAAAGATCCATGCAACCTTGGAGTCTTAGCCTCATGATATATACTACATTCTCAAATGATTGGAATCCAAGTTGATGCTCAAAGTTACTACCAGGTATTGCGCTGACAGTGAGAAGAGCAGTGGAGCTGGGTGAGCATGGGGCCACAGAGCCTCAGAATTATGTAGAAACAGACCTGTTATGTGGTCCAGAGTGGTTAAGTCACTTTCCCAATGTCAGCACAGCCAGTAAGGAGCTGAGCTGGCACTCGAAGGCAGACACTGGCTCTAGAACCCGTGCTCTCATCCCAGGCCATCCCTGTTCCCAGCCTGCGATTCTTCCACTGCAGCCTTTGTCCCTCACCTGCTCCTCTCCCCTCTCTAGGGACTTCTGCCTGGGGCGAGCCCTCTGTGCCCCCTGCAGCTACCTTCCAGCCTGGGCACAAGCGGACCCCTTCGGAGGCTGAGCGATGGCTGGAGGAGGTGTCCCAGGTGGCCAAGGCCCAGCAGCAGCAGCAGCAACAGCAGCAGCAGCAGCAGCAGCAAGCGGCCTCAGTGCCCCCAGTGTCCACCCTCCCCCCTGCCCTACAGCCCTTCCCTGCCCCTATGGGGCCCTTTGACACAGCACCTGCCCAGGTGGCTGTGTTTTTGCCACCCCCACACATGCAGCCCCCATTCATACCTGCCTACCCAGGCCTGGGCTACCCGCCCATGCCCCGGGTGCCTGTGGTGGGCATCACACCCTCGCAGATGGTGGCCAACGCCTTCTGCTCAGCTGCCCAGCCCCAGCCTGCCACCCTGCTTGGGAAAGCTGGGGTCTTCCCACCCCCTGCTGCACCCAGTGCCCCTGGGGGCCAGGCCCGTCCACGCCCCAATGGGGCCTCCTGGCCCCCAGAGCCTGCACCGGCCCCTGCCCCTGAGTTGGACCCCTTTGAGGCCCAGTGGGCAGCATTAGAAGGCAAACCCACTGTGGAGAAGCCCTCCAATCCCTTCTCCGGAGACCTGCAGAAGACCTTCGAGATTGAACTGTAGCTCAAGCTGCCCTGCCCACCCCGTCACCCTGTCACCCCCAGGTGCACCACACCTGGGAATGGAGGCACAACCTCTCCCGTAGTCCTGCTCCTTGGGGCTGTGCCCCTCAATTCCCTGAGTCCTCTCTGCCACTCCCAAACCTCTACAGAACCAACATTGTGAAGGCCAGGTTGCGACAGGACGGAATTCAGGGACGGACACAGCCTGGCTAAGGGAGCCATGTCACTGCCAGATGTAGGCTGGCAATGCACCCTCTCGTGCCCCAGACACAAGGGGATGGCCACAGTCCCAAGGATGTCCATGGTTCAAGTTCCACTCCCCAGTTTCTGTTGCTGACCTTTCACCTTCTAGTGTTGGGCAGGATGAAGGAGGGATGCCCTCATAGGGGCTCTCCTGGGCCCCACAAGAGTGCCCACCCCAAATCTGGTCATCTCCTCCCCCACACACAGCACAAGTAAGGGCTTCCCTCTGCCCTCGCTGCGTTCACTGCCAATGCTGTGCTCACCTCCACTCGGGGCCCACATCTGTCTTCCAGGGGGCCAAGGTCTCAAGGGGGCAAGGCCAAGCTGGGGGCCCAGAGGTGGGGGAGGGGGGAGGGAAGATGCTCAGTTACCTCATGTTGGTACCCGCTGGGGTGGGGTCCTGGAAGAATGGGAAGGGGTGCCTGGCGGGTACTTTTCTATCTTTTATTTCCAGATTTTTTTTGTATCTAAACTTGCAGATTTGTATTATACAAGGACAGCTAATAAAGGAAGAATATAATGGTGCCCCTCGGGAAGGCAGGGTGTGTGTGTGTAGGGGAATGATGTGGCCACAGAGCCTTTCCTCCTGAGTCATTGTCTAAAACAGGAGGGAGGAAAAGGGTCTCCCTGAGCAATAGCTTCTGAGTCATAAGTAGGGATCAGGTACCGCTGACACAGTACCCTCCACAGGGGTGCTAAGGGAAGCCCAGAATTAATCGCCCTATTTCTAGACCAAGGTATAAAAAACACAAGTTCTGAACACTGCTAATTGCTTCAGTATAAATATTCTAGAGCTGGGCATGGTGGCACCCGCCTTGTAGGCCCAATTACTTGGGAGGCTGAAGCAGGAGGATCCCTTGAGCCCTATGTTCAGGTTCAGCCTGGGCAACATAGGGAGACCCTGTGTCCAAAAAAAAAAAAAAAAACCACCTAAATAACTAACTGGTTTGTAATAATGTTTCTTTGATCTTACTGGCAAATTCTTATTTTGTTAGTTGCATTTTCCATACTTAGAGCCAAACTTTTCACCTGACATGGCAGCATTTTATTTTTAAGTATTGTCTCCTGGGTTCCTTGATATAATCTATAAAATAGATTTAAAAAAAAAAACATGTAACAAACTATATGTTTAATTATAGCTCTTTAAAATGGGGTGATTGATTTTGTGCAACTCAATATTTTATCCCCATTTGAGAGATGGATAAGTGGAGTAAGTGGCCTAAGGTCTCATGAGCTGGAATTCAAACCCAGCCTCTGGCTGACCTTGACGCACATCAGTTAGCCACTTGACTAAGGAAGCAGCCTTAGAATCTGCCTCCCCCCACCCCTTTCTTTTCTCTGCCTGGACACCCACCCTTTCCCCACACTGTACCATTTCTGTGAAAACACACTTCAGGCCTCAATTCAAATATCTCTTCCAAGGCCTGGTGCCCCATGCCATCCTTTGAGCCTGGGTTCACACAGTCCTTAATTCTTCAGGCTGAATCAGGAGTGCCCTTTAGGCCCTGTGCCTCCCCCATCCCAACTGACCACTCCCTTGTGCTTCCTCCATTCCCACTGTGACCCCTTTGCTTGTACCTCCCCCATCCAGGGCCTGACTCACTCTAGGCTGTCCCTCACTATCTGGTGGTTTGTCTGTTCCACAGGACTGTGGAGAGGGGAGGGTCCTGGCTGTCCCAGTCTCTGCTGCGTCCCAGCACAGGGACAGGCACAGAAAATGCAGTCTCAGGTACACATCCATGCCAGTAACTAGGAACTGGATGGGCTAGAAAGGACCTAAAAGTAGATCAGAAATGGTTGGAGCTATGGGCCAGATGGGGAAAGGAGGACCGCAGCACCTGGCCATCAGGCCCCCACTAATCACAGGAACCATTCTTCCTGGGTCCGGGGTAGCTTTCCCAGAGCCCACAGGTGCAGGAGGGATGGGGAACAGCGCTGGGCACCGCACAGACCTGTTTCCCGAGGACCTCCCACGTGCTCCTGATCTTGCCCCTCACGCCCTAGGCAGAGACCCTCGCTCTTCACAGCGCAGCTCTGCAGAGGCCGCAGATCTGGGGATAACCTCCCGTGCCCCCTCCAGGCTTAGGCCCTGAGAATAGAACCAAGAAACCCGACTTAAGGCTCCAACTGACAAGGGTGGCCTCATCGCCCCGCAAACGCCTCGTGCTGCACCCTCGTAGGGTCTTTGGAGCGACGTTCTCCCGGCCAGGTCCGGCACCGTTTCTGGGCTCTTTGGAAAACCCCTCCCCTCGTGTCCCCTTTCTTCGGAGCCGCCAGGGACTGCGCGGGCTGCTTGGACTCGGTCCCGGGGACCCAGCTACGCGCGATGCCTGTGTTTCTGGCCTCCCCTGCGCCCTCTGACCCGCCGCTTCCACCGCCTCCAGCGTGGCCACCCCCACCCCAGCTGCTGCGATTGGGAGACGACATCCCACCCGCGACACGCACACCCAGCCTTGCGGGGCCGCGTGATTCCTGGGGCGCTCGCGGAGGCCACGGGACAGCGCCCCCTCGCGGAGGCTCCGGCGCCCGACTCGTGGCTCGGAGCTGGAGCCCCACCAGAGGCCGCCAAGGAGGAAAATCGTGGGCGGCCGGGCCGGGGACCAGGATGGGCATCGCAGCCATGAAGAACATTATCCTTCAGGCCCTAGCTCAGCCGTCCCCTCCTCGGGGAAGTCCTCCCTAAATCCCCCCATTTGACTCCTTTGGGCTCTCATGTTCCAACATGCCTGCCCTGGCCTCCCCACAGCATCTCTGACCTCGCCATCCCTCCCCCATGCCTCTAGCCTGTCACTGTCACCAAGAGTTGGGCCTTCACCCTACCATAGGAAGCCCCATGCGTACAGGGGCAAGGGCTGTCTCAGTCACTGTGTCCCCAGCATCTCCCAGCACCAGTCACTGAGAGGCAGCGCACACCCTGGGGAGTATGACCCCCTCATCGCATCTTTTATTTTGTGCGTTTAACAGCTTCATTAAGGTATGATCTACTTGTAAAATGCTCTCATTTTTGAACGACTCTGGGTGATTTCACAGTTGAGAAACCATCACCATGATTCATTTTAGAACATTAACGTCGCTCTAAAAAGATCTCTTCTGCCCATGCGCAGTCACTCTCCCTCCTGCCCCCAGCCCCAGGCAACCGCTGATCCGCTTTCTCTGACTTACTATTCTTTTCTTCTTACAAGCCTTTTCCAAATTCTTATTTTTCTCAGCTGTTGAGTGCTGAGGATACACAATGACACACAGACCTTGCCCCTCAGGGAACTCAAAGTCTGTTTGAGGCCACAGCTAATGGGGAAATATATCCAATAACTCATTTATTCGTTTATTCATTCATTCAAAAAGATTTACAGGGCCAGGCACGGGTGGTGGCCCAGCCTGTAATCCCAGCTACTCCACAGTCTGAGGCAGGAGGATTGCAGGTTTAAAACCAGACTCCTCAACTTAGCGAGGCCCTAAGCAACTTATCTCAAAATAAAAAAATAAAAAGGACTGGGGATATGGTTCAGTGGTTGAGCACTCCTGGGCTCAATCCCTGGTACAAAAAAAAAAAAAAGTGTGTGTAATATATATATATATATATACACACACACGTATACATATATACATATACTCTCTCTCTATATATATATATATGAGAGAGAGAGCGAGGGCATTTACCATCTGCCAGGCACTATTCTAGGCCTTGAGGATATAGCAATGGAGGAGAAAAAAAAAAAGATAAAAGTCTCTGTTTAACTGGAGTTGATATTCTAACAGGAGGATGGAAAATGAAGGAAAAAGTATATAATATAATGACAGCTTATGATGAACATTATGAAGACAAAGAAGGAGAAAGAATGAAGTGAGATTTTAGACAGGGTAGTTAGTGAGCATGTCCCTGAGAAGTATGCATTTAATCAAGCTGGATTGAAGTGAGGGGTCATGGCCATGTCTGGGAAATGGTGTCCCTGGCAGGGGAACAGCCAGTGCCAATGGCCTGAGGTAGGAACAAGCAAAAGGTCAGTGTTCTGGAGTGTCATGAGGGACAGGGAGGACAATCAGAGTTGAAGTGAGCGTGCACAGTGAGCCATATCAGGTAGGGCCTTGGACACCATGGTAAGAGTCTGGGTTTGCCTTCTGATCCACAAATGAGAAGCCCTGGCAAGGTTTCAGCAGAGGAGTGGAGCACAGGCTTCATTCTCTGAGCAATGGGGCCAGAAAGCGCTTGGCTGGGATTGGCTGTGTTTTCCAGTGCTCTTTCTTCATACGCATCTCCTGCTCACTACCCACTATGTGGTTTTTGCGCCTGCCATGCACACGAGAGAGAAACTCATTCACTTATTCATTCTTGAGGACCTCCAGGATCTTCATAGGCAGTTTGAAAATACCTACATTTACAACATTCGTGGCTGCACTATAACCTGTGTAATGACTCCATGATGATTGGGGTTTTTGCATGATTTGCTATTATAAGAGTGAAATAGTGGTTGCCAGGTGTGGTGGCGCACACCTGTAATCCCAGTGACTCCGGAGGCTGAGACATGAGGATCACGAGTTCAAAGCCAGCCTCAGCAATGGTGAAGTGCTAAGCAACTCAGTGAGACCCTCTAAACAAAGATACAAAATAGGGCTGGGATGCGTCTCAGGGGTCAAGTGGCCCTGAGTTCAATCCCTGCTACCAAAAAAAAGTAAAAAAAAAAAGTGATATAGGTGGAGATTGTGTTGCTAAGTTCTTCTGTACACATAATAAAACCATTTTAAGACTCCCATTTCCCCCACTTTCTAGCACCCCTGAAATGAGGACTGTCTTATAAACAATCATGTGTCACAGTTTAATTGACAGCTTTCCCTGTCTTGGCGATCAGAAGTATTATGCATCTCACCACAATGGCCTCTGGGATTTGAGTGAACACCAAAGGGACAGCAGTGCTCAGAGCAAATACGTAGTGACACCAAGTGCCACGTTAACTCCTGTAACAACCCTGGGATAGACACTACTTTTCCTTTTTTTTTCTTTTCTTTTTTGGTACTGGGGATTGAACCTAGAGAGGTTTTATCACTGAGCCACATCCCCAATTCTTTTTGACAGGGTCTTGCTAAGTTGCTGAGGCTGGCCTCAAACTTGCTATCCTTCTGCCTCAGCCTCCCAGGTTACTGGGATTACAGGCATGCATCATTACACCCAGCCAAGACACTATTATTCCCCACTTTTCAGATAAGAAACTGAGTCTCAGAGTACCAAAGTCACACAGCTACAAAGCAATGGATGAGGATCAGAACCCAGCAGCAGCTCCAGAGTCTCTAAGTAATTTTAGTTCCCAGAGTACATGGTGAGCACTGTGGGTGAGATTCCTGCACTCCTTTCCCACCCTCAGCCCTCTTTTTGCATGAGACCCCTCCAGGCCACAGGGAACTGGGCCAAAGTATATCACTCACTGTGCTTTTGAGTTTTGGAGCTGTGCTGTCCCCTCTCCTCTGCATTCCAACTCATGGAGCAGGCCCTGTTATCCTAGGGTTATAAGTATCTTAACAGCAGCTATTGAAGT